ACGAAGTTACGGAAAATTAATTAACAAACGGAGACGTAACAATATTTAATATAAGGCTAAGTAGGTTATGATGTCATTGGTTAGGCCACATTTGGGCTCTTTACTTTATAATGAGCATTGAATTGTTGGAAAGGGTTGAGAGGAGGGCTACTAAAATCATACCTGGGATAGAAATGTTGTCATACGAGGATAGGTTAAGATCTCTGAAAAAAAAAAGAGTTGGAGGGAATCTGATTGAGGTGTTTAGATCTTTAATTATTTATTCACGTTATCTTAAAATAGGTTACTTCATACTTAGGTGTATTTAAGAATCCATAACATTTTCAAACATACTACTTTTAGGTTTTAGCATTACTTTGAAATTTTTATGATTGTGTAAAGTGTGTTTTAATGACGAGCACTGCCTTAACTGTCTCCACATTCAGACCTGGGTTTCTCACCATGCACAGGCTAAATTTTCGAAAACGTTTGATGGCAGGAGAGTACATGTTACAATAATGAACAAATCAAGTAGGCCTATTACATTTGTTATCCAATGTGACTGGCAGTTTGATGTATTTATGAGACTGTCCCGATAAAACTGGGATGTCTGGCAACCCTAAACAAGTCGTATCCTAACTGTAGTAAGTAAAGTGCAGCGTTTTGTAACAGGTGGGCAAACACAACGGTCAGTAGGCAGTAGTACATAACATAACTAAAAAAAGAGCTCTGTCTGGAAAAGTGACATAAATTCTTCCAAACAAATCCGTTCAACCATCATATACCTCGAACAACTGGAGAATGAAACTGGTATTCTTGCTATTCGTTATGAAAAAATACCGTTCAAATCGTCAGATATAATGCCTATAGATTTCTGTGTGATCGAATTGTTGAAACGGGCACTGTGAACTGACTTTTTTGTACACTAGATGGATTATGGAAAGTAAGCAGGAATAAACGATGTGCTTTAGTCGTGACAGCCATCTAACGGAGACTTTGGCAATGGAAGCTATGCCGCAGGGCTATCATGAAATAAACGGTTGAAAAGGTAGAGAATGACCAGACATGACGATATGAATCGTAACGACATTGTGAGACTCCAAAGTTGTGTTAATATAAAATAGTATAACCATCATAACATCCGGAACAGCTTTTAACAAGGAAAATAACGCTTATACACATTATAAACAATTAATGACTTTTCAAAATATTAATGTTCCGTTACCCATGCTTTACTGTAATTTTAATTTTTATATAGTTTATAATATCTTTCTTATACATCGATACCCGTGGTGGGCAGAGCACAGATAGCCCGTTGTGTAGCTATGTGCTTAATTCCAAACAAACAAATTCTTATACATAAATACAAATTCATTAATTCTCTAGTATTAATAAAAAACTAATATATGTATATATATATATATATATAATATCTATATATACTACTGTTACGTCTCCAGTCGTTAATTAATTTTACGGTTAACTTCGTTCCC